TGCTCCCCCTGCTAAAAGCTTAACTTTTAGTGCTTTGATACGGAAAACCCACTTGTTGGCAAAAAGTTCTCAAGTCCTAACATCCCTTGGCAAAATGCATTTCTAAAAACCGCTGCCAGGTGCAAGCTGTAGGAATTGTCTTCGACAGAAGCCTTCCGTGGGGCGTGAGATCTCTCAAATCCAGCGGAGAGCCGAGGCGCCCCATGCAAAAAGCGGCAAAAAAACGAGAGGGTCGGGTACGCTAGGTCTCAAAGAAACCAGTCCTGCCCCGCGTTTTTGGTTCGCTGTGCATTTTTTGTCAATGGCTTACAAAGGCTCAACAGACCTTTCTGACCGTACATTCCAAAGCAACTGCCCGACCTCTCGTCAAGACTCGCCCCCCTCAATTTCCTGAGTCCTGTCACCACTGCGATTCCTGCACGCGAAGGCGTCTTTGTGACACTTGCGCCTGCTCTGCACTCAAATAACTGAAGCCAGCATCACATCAAGCAAGGTGAGAATATGGGTATTCCAAACAGGGGACCCCCCAAAAAGAAATGGTCTGGTCCCTTTGCTTTTCCCAAAAACCACCCAACAAATGGTTCCCTCGAAAACACACAGCATAACCTATCGCAGAGCTTGATTCCCGTCCTCATTCCGTCGCCGATGGAAAGCACTTGGCGCGTCCAGCCTGCATCTTCAATTCGCAGAATTCTTTCGTATCCCTCGGGAAAGGACCAGCCCCAAAAAAAAAGTGCACTTTTTTTTTCTGGAACCAACGGGCAACCGGGGGAGAAAAAAAAAGGCTTCAGGCGCAATCCAAAAACCCATCGGGCACGAAGCAGCCCTCTTGCTTCTTGCTAAGGCGTCCGCTGGCAGGAGTGTTTCGCGGATCAGCTGCAAACCTCAGGGCCGGGGAGCCAAGCACGGGAAAAAGTCTCAGGTTGATCTGGCTTTCCCGACGGTGGCGGAAGGGGGGAGGGGGGAGTGAGACCCCCAGAGCATTGTGTCACTCTCTCATCGTTTTCCAGGTCAATTCCCAGGGAGTCTGCAACAGTGACGTGAAATCTGAATCTTCATGATAATTTCACTTAGACTCATATTATGAGTCTAAGTGAAATTATCATGATAAGTCCTCCAAAGTTGGGGGGGCCATTTGATTCCTGTTGGATTCCAATTTCAGCCCTACAAACACATGAAATTCGCCCCAGAAGTTGGGAAGTTGGGGAAATTCGCCCCAATTGCCTTGCCTCCTGGTGGTTTCCCTTGAAGCCCCGACCAAATGGAGTTCCCAGGTTCAGCCTCCAAACCTATGCATTTCAGCCCCCAGAAGTCGGGGAAGTCGGTCAGTGCACTCAGGCGCGAGCAGGTGTCTCGAGCTGCAAAGGTGTCGAAAACCAAGGCCTAAGTGCAAAGCTCGAGCCCCTGACATTTCGTCCATGTAATTCAGACCTTTTTAAATAAATAAATAAATATATCCAGCAGTGATATTGTCCTTTGAAAACCAACAAGGGAAACGGAACAATATAATATTTCAAACTCCTTTTACCACCAACAAGGGATAGAACATATTATTAAGCAAATGGAAGATGGTTGGCCTCCTTTTGGGCTCCCTTTAAAAACCAACCATAAGGTCCATCATTTTTAGAACCCCCCCATCTGCGCACAACTTTAATGTTGTTGACCAAGACCCCGGATGAATTTTGACCCTTTTAGGGGCATGTCCCCCTCCAAAAGTGATGGTTCCCCACTAAACTCAGTTGGACACCCCCCTGTGAATAAACTGGGGTGCGATTGGCAGGGAATGAGTTGCAATAACCAAGGAAACCCATCGCCTATGGCTTTCTTTAAGGGCATCCCCAAACGGTTCATTCCCAAACCCTGGGTCATTCCCTACCGAGCACCAGCAACTCACCTGCAATGAGAGAAACAAAACGCGGCGAGAAAGCCAAATGAGCCGGAAATTTAAGGCAAATTGGGTGGTCCCCTACGTCCTCCACACATCAACCGTAGGCGGTGGAACAGCTTCGAGGGTCCGGTTTCTTATGCCAGACATCTGCAGCAAAACAAACTGGGACTCTTCCAAATCTCTTTCCTTTGGTTCGTGTCCAAATCCGTTCCCCTAAATGGACCCTATGTTTGACAAATCCCCGTCTGAGCGAGTGTTCCTTAACATAAGGCCGTATATGGTTTGCATTTCGCCTTGCCCTTATTCCTTTCCATAACAGCAGGGTGGGACCAGTGGCACACCTCATATCCACAGCTGGCATTCAAGGGTTCTAAAACTCATGGCACAGAAGAAACGTGGAAACTTACCTAGATCCTCCAGTAGAGAGGGGTTAGAACAAGGGTACCCCCCAAAAAAAGGGTAAAAGGGCACTGCTGGGGGACCTAGCTACCGCACCTATTTCTGGCTGGGGGACTGTCCCTAACCTTGCTCAGCCGATTTGGCTTTGAATGCTCTGCACCTGGGTCTCCTTTTGGACAGGACGGATTCCACAAGTACATAGTTGCGTATCGCGCACTGAAACCACTCTGATCACATCCATTTTCAACCAAACTGAAACCATGGTTCAAAGGGTTGGGTTACAGAAAATTCTACAGGAAACCAGTTATTTAGGGTTTTTGGGGGCCATGTCCTGTAGATGTTCCTGCAATTTAACCCTTTGAATGGTTCAACAGAAAGGCCGGACACCTGATCTGAGGCAGCGTGCCAAGTGCCGTGGTGCAGCTGAGAGCTTGGTGTAGCGGCTGTTGCTTCTGGCAGGGAACCAAAAGGATACTCTTTTAGCACAGTGGGCTTAAACGCGTCAACCAAAAAAATGATCTGAAACTCGAAACTCGGATGTAGATATGAAGCAACTAGGCAAGTCGCCAAACCTTCTAGATTCAGCATCTATTGGTGCTTGGTGCTCACACAACCTTCAGCTTGCGCCCCCATGACTTGCTTGTCTCACATTTCGCATACAGATCCTAAAGATTAAAGTTGCCCCCCCCCGGCGCCTAGTGGAGGATGGCCACTTCACGCCTCGTCGAGGGAGAGAGGTGCTGAGAGTTCTGGTGACATAGGTGGATTGACATGTGAATTTTCGTTGAGAGGTGCTGGGAGGTGCAGAGGTCGATGTGGACTTATATTAGTTTCCCCCAATGAAGTGAGAAATTCCAGTTGAGAATGGGATGCCCCAGTATTCATCAAGCAGTTCATTCATCCCGGGTTCCCATGCGGATACCACCACGCCCTATGCGCATCAGCGAAACCAATTCCTCAGAGCCTCCCCTGAACATGCAAAGCTCATGAAACCAACAGGCCATGCTGGGTAACGCGTACCAAGTTTGACATGCGCCATTTGGGTTGCCCCCGGGGGTTTTGTCCCATGCCCCCCCCCAAAGCGCAGCAAACTACCAGTGATCAGTTGATCACACACACACGCACGCTCCAAGCTCATTTTGCGGAAATTGTGCAAAGGGCAACCAAAACTACCTCAGCTTTGCCCCAACCAAAAGCATGTTGTTCATTCTGATCCATGTTCAGCAATCACCTCTTGCGGGCACTCCCTTTTTGGGTTGCATTTGCAGGAGAGCAATGTGTGTGTGTGTGGCGCTTTGTGGTTCTGTCTTTCTTTGTTTCTTTTTTTTAAATCTTATTTCTTTCTTTATTTATTTCTTTCCTTCTTTATTTCTTGCTTTCTTGCTTTTCTTTCTTTCTTTCTTGTTTCTTTCTTGCTTTCCATATATATGTATAGATATATATATATTATTTATCTCTGTCTTTCTTCCTTTCCTTTCTTCCTTTCTTTCTGTCTGCCTCAGTGCCTGCCTGCCTGGCTGCCTGCTGCGTGGTCGCTCGCTCGCTCGCTCGCCCGCTTGCTTGTGTTTTTGTTGACGTTCTTTGGGTTAGTCTTAAAGGGAAACCAAAAGGAAAACCGCCATTTTTGTGTGTCCCGTGTTTTGACACAAAACCATATTGTCAATGACTAGACCCCTGAGCGCAAGGCCCGCATCCTCGTCCTGCCAGAGCTGTGGCGGGTTCTGCCAAAGTGGGGGGGGTACCCCCAAATATCAGCTTCCCCCAGATTGGTGGTTTGGATTGATGGTTTGGGGATTTGAACCCCAGGTTCCAGAGGGTAAGCGAGAAACTACTCCTATTCGCAACACCAGTGCAGTAGAGTCGCATGGCCCCCATCCAAAGGAAAACAAATCGTCGAACTTGCTGCTGCAGCTGTTCAACCTGTGGCAGTGATTCACATGGGGATATCTGTGGCGAGCTGCTTCTGAACCCTGGCAGCTTGTCATCAGCAATTAGAATAACAACGACGATGACGATGACGACGTCGACGGCGATGATGAGGATGAGGGTATGATGAGGATGAGGATGAGGAGATATGAGGAGGATGAGGATGAGGAGGATGAGGATGAGGATGAGGATGATGATGAGGATGAGGACGAGGATGAGGATGATGATGATGATGATGATGATGATGATGATGATGATGACGATGACGATGACGATGACGATGACGATGACGATGACGACGACGATGACGATGACGATGACGATGACCATGACGATGATGATGACGATGATGATGATGATGATGATGATGATGATGATGACGATGACGATGACGATGACGATGATGATGATGATGATGATGATGATGATGATGATGATGATGACGATGACGATGACGATGACGACGACGATGACGATGACGATGACGATGACAATGACGATGATGATGACGATGACGATGATGATGATGATGATGATGATGATGATGATGACGATGACGATGATGATGATGATGATGATGATGATGATGATGATGATGATGATGATGATGATGATGATGATGATGATGATGCTGCTGCTGCTGCTGATGATGATTAATGATGATTAATGATGATTAATGATGAATGGTAAATGATGAATGATGAAACATGATGAAACATGATGAAACATGATGAAACATTAGGAATCAATGTGCACCAACAACTTTGCGTGTTCTCTCCCTTAAACTTCATCTCCGAGCAGCTGCCTCACTGTTGCTGCCCTGTGAGGCAGCGAAGCTGCAGGGGGACTCGATGTTCACCTGGCCCATGGGCTCGGCAACAGAAGGGGCGAACTAATCACTAGGTCCTCCAGCAGAGAGGATAGAATAAGGGTACCGTTTCGTTTTTTGGTAATTCATTTTACTGGGGGAACCGAATCTCCCCCAAAAAAGGGGTGAGAAAGGGCACTACTGGGGGACCTGGACAAGGTGTGTGTTCCGCTCTAATCATGACTGGGGTTTGAGGTACCAAGGGGCAACATCAATGTCCAAATTCCCCTAGAATCATGACTGTGATTAAGGTGCCAAGGTTCCCCCATTCAAGTTGTGGGTTTATGATTTGAATCCCCCATCCTAGCATAGTCTTACCAAGGTTCCTTTCTAGATGAGTTGCCCGCATCTAATTCTGGGTTTCTGCCATTCTCTTTGAACCCCCTTAAAATCTGGTTTATATAGAGTACCCCATCCCATTCTACTCATGTCCCCATTGTATTAGTTACCTGTTTCAGGAGAGTATATGGAAAGAAAGGAAACCACTGGTCCCTGTCCCCCCTTTTCTGACACACCCATATTCGGTTCGAACATTTTGAAGGTTGATCCCCGATCCATTCCTTCGCTTCTTTTGAAGCACGAAGATTCCCCTAGCATTTCTGCGCATTTCCGAAAAGAAACGAGCAAAAGGGTGGCCACAAATGCCCAGTGGCCATGGGCACAAAGGGCACCCTTTTTTGGTTGGTTGAATTTAAGGGGAACCCTTCCCAGAAAAAAAGAAGAAGAAAAAGAAGACGGAATCCACTGGGCAACTGGGTGGCAGAAGCACAGCCGAAGGAGTCGGCCCGTCTGCGCCTTCACCGAGCCGCCGCACATCAGCGCCCTGTCCTGGCAAAAAAGGAACCGAACCGAGGAACCCACCTGTTTTCGGGGGGGGAAGTCCTGTCAAAGTGGGGCCCTACCATCACTGGCCACTAACCGCCCCAACACAACATCATGTTGGCCAGACGGGGGTGGTTTGCCCGGACTCAACCCGGCGTCATGTTGTTTGCAAGCCCAACACCCATTGCGCTATGATTCTACCATCTACCAAGATGGCATTTTCATGGTTTCTAGGGGTTGTCAACGCCAGAAAATGGGGCTGTTTCCCTTCAACCCACCACTTAGGGGGTGACTTTGATTCTGGTGAAATAATCAGGCCAGTCAAAGAAAAGCTGTGCAACTGGAGCTAGAGGCAAACTGGTGATGTACTGTCTAACCAGGCGGCTCCAAAAACCCCTCTCCCCTCTCCCCCCAGAAAACAATATATAACCCGGAGTTGGTCAAGAGAGCCTGGTGCTTTGGTGTGCAGCTTGGCTTCCAGCGTTTGGCCTTTCAAAATCCTGGACGGTGGATGTGGCTTTCGTTCCAAAGGCTCGCACCACCAAAGAGACTCGCGCGCACGTGCGATGTCTGACTCGCGTTGTCTGACTCGCTCGCCTGTTGTCTGACACGGTCTACACTCAAGAGGCCATGCTTGAAGCCATACCGTTGGCTGGTAATTACTTTGGGGAATCGAATCATTCCGTTGGGTTTCTGAACGGAGCAAGAAACGGATTTCGCAACCCTCCACGAGATCATGTCTGGGTTTGGACATTGCGCTCTCTTCATTCGGCATTCGGCGATGATGCAATATGCAACAAAACAAAAAGCTTCGTCCATGCATATCTCTTCACACATTGGAGTTGGCAGACTTGGCTATCTGAACAAGGCAACCCCTTGACCCATGAGGGGGATAGCATATGTATGGTAATCGTATACATATAAATATATATATATATATATATATGTACACATACGTATATTCAATTGTATGCTTCACAACACGGAATACATGCCCAACTCTGCCACAAACAAGCGCAATCCTTGCAGGGCATCCCATTTGAACGGTGTGTACACCACTTTTGTTCAAAGATGCTTCCTTGGGCTTCCCTTTGAGGGTCGAAAGGGCGTCAAAAGGAAGCCAAACGAAACCCAAGGGAACCAGATTCGTTGTCTACTCTTCTGGATTCGTCAGCCGAATCCCCTGCCCTGCCAATCCTTCCCCGCCTCCTCCGTGCAAAGTTGGCACATCTCGCAGGGGTCCCGCACCACTCCGAGGCGCTCCTGGAGATGCCGGAGGATGGTGAGAACTGGCGCCCGTGCGATAGGCGGGGTGGGGTGGGGTGGGGTGGGGGGGCGGGGGTGGGGTGGGGTGGGTGGGGGGTAGGTGGGGCGGGTGGCGGATAGGTGGGGTGGGTGGCGGATAGGTGGGGTGGGTGGCGGATAGGTGGGGTGGGTGGCGGGTAGTTGTGGTGGGTGGCGGGTAGGTGGGGTGGGTGGCGGGTAGGTGGGGTGGGTGGCGGGTAGGTGGGGTGGGTGGCGGATAGGTGGGGTGGGTGGCGGGTAGTTGTGGTGGGTGGCGGGTAGGTGGGGTGGGTGGCGGGTAGGTGGGGTGGGTGGCGGATAGGTGGGGTGGGTGGCGGATAGGTGGGTGGGTGGCGGATAGGTGGGGTGGGTGGCGGGTAGGTGGGGTGGGTGGCGGGTAGGTGGGGTGGGTGGCGGGTAGGTGGGGTGGGTGGCGGATAGGTGGGGTGGGTGGCGGGTAGTTGTGGTGGGTGGCGAGTAGGTGGGGTGGGTGGCGGGTAGGTGGGGTGGGTGGCGGGTAGGTGGGGTGGGTGGCGGATAGGTGGGGTGGGTGGCGGGTAGTTGTGGTGGGTGGCTGGCGGGTAGGTGGGGTGGGTGGCGGATAGGTGGGGTGGGTGGCGGATAGGTGGGGTGGGTGGCGGATAGGTGGGGTGGGTGGCGGGTAGGTGGGGTGGGTGGCGGGTAGGTGGGGTGGGTGGCGGGTAGGTGGGGTGGGTGGCGGACAGGTGGGGTGGGTGGCGGGTAGTTGTGGTGGGTGGCGGGTAGGTGGGGTGGGTGGCGGGTAGGTGGGGTGGGTGGCGGATAGGTGGGGTGGGTGGCGGATAGGTGGGGTGGGTGGCGGGTAGTTGTGGTGGGTGGGTGGGGTGGGGTGGGGTGGGTGGCGGGTGGGGGGAATGACTCCCGAAGAATGGAAACCAAATCGGATGGATGGTTTTCCTTGGGGTCATTCCACTTCGCATTCCCTGCTGAGAACCAGTAACAATAACATCACTTACCCTCCAGGCTACTTTTGGAATGAGGATATGCTCATTGGTCGTCTTTAGACCCATGGGGAAGCCAGCTCCTCACATCCTGGCACCTGTCCTTGACAGCCGCACTTCCTTTCTGCAGGCAGCAACCTCAGCCCGTGAACAAGACATGCGGGAAAACGAGAGGCCATCCAGTCCCAGATGTCTTGGCTCAAAGACATGTTAACCAAAATGGCACCTTGGTAAACGGAACCAAAGACGAAAAAACCTGCGTAGCCCTAGCTCTAAAATTTTGAGCCACCCCCTCTTGCAGTGGGTATGGAATGTGTGGAGGGTACTCCCTTTTTTGGGGAGTCTGAAACGGGAAACCAAATGAAACCGCCCATTCTGGGGACCCCATCTCAAAGCACCCTTGCAGCTGGGGCGTCTTGGGGCAGGACTCGGTTGCTGGAAAAAAGGACATAGGGGAGAACTGCGGCTTCGGGTTTCTCAAAATGGCTCGGACCCCCTTTGTTGCTTGGCCTTTTCGGGAAACGAAAGACACCTCAGGGACTTTTGGTCCAAGTTGAGCGGGCACATCTCGCTGGCTCGCTCGGACTCCGGCGCCGGCGCCGGCGCGCGGGAGCACCGCGGTCAGAGCCGAAGCAGCTCAATTGGTCCTAGGGAAACAAAGCGGCCAGCTGCACCGTTCCTGTCTTTGTTCCAAGGAAATGGAGATGTTCCCCTGGCTTCGTTTCCTCTGGGTCACAAAGAAAGGTTTACCCTCCCACCAACATGGAAGCCTCCCACCAACCAACATGGAAAAGTGCAAAAAGGCCAACTTTCCAAAAATGGAAAGTCGTCTTTCTACAGGGGTCTGTGCACAAACCCATGTTGGCTGGTGAGAGGGTAGACCTTTCTTTCTTGTGACCCAGAGCAAACCAAGCCAGTGGAACCTCAGCCTTATGGGACCAGAAAAAGCGCCACGTAGGGACCCTCCAAAAAGGAGCCTTTGGGGCCTCAGAAGGGGCCCCAAATGGCCCTTTTTGGGGGTCCCCAGAGGGTGTTTGGGACCACACCAGGAGAACTCCAAGGAATGTTACCTTTAAGGCGAAGTGTCCCAAACTTCGCAAAATGTGAAGATGTCCCCCAGCAAGTGATCAGGACTTACGTCTGAATTTACACATTTAGTGGGATCCTGCGAATGTCAAACCCAAATTGATCAAGCTGGCAGAGGCGGCGTTCCCACCAAAAGTGAAGCTTTCCCTGTAAACAATGATTTCTTCCCTCTGCCAATCAAGGAGTCTATTCCGAGGTTTACGCCCCTCTCTCTTTGAGCCTTTCATTCAATGCAAAACGCCATGGCCCACCTGCCCGTTTGGCAAAAAACATCCAGACAACTATGGATTGAACTTTTTTGTCATTTAGGCTTGCCACTTCGATGGGGCCATGTTTTGGTTGCTTGAAACCAAGCTTTGCCCTCGCAGGTGAGGCTCGGCCAAAGGTCCACCAGTCTTTGGTTTTCCAACGCCCAGAAATTTTGGAAGACCCGGGTCAAGTCCTTTTCGGGGGCAAAACAAAGAGAGGTTAGAAGGGTACCAACTTTTTTCTGTCTACATTAGTAGGGGAGCCCTCCCTTGAAAAAGCGGGCAAAAGGGCACTATTGGGAGACCTAGTAATAAAAACCCACCCGCGGCTCAAGCAAAGCCTTGACACAATCTCCACGACTTGAAATGGTTCCATAAAATTATCAATCGAGACCTCCCCAGAAGCTGAAGAATTGCCCCCCTTGAAGAAAAGGTCAGGATTAGACACTTCAGTCAGTGACATATCGGCTGCCCTCTGCGATAACCGTGATCATTGCTAGATCGTGGTTGAAAGGGTAGCCATTTCCAAAGGCGACCGAAGGGGATGATCGTTGGGGCCGCGCTGCGTTTTTAATTGAATGCCTGCGTGTGGTTCATGGCCGAAATCTAAAGAATCTGAAGCTCAGTTGCCCAAAGGACCCAGAAATAAAAGATCCTTTCGGGGCTTTACCAAACATAGACCAACGTGGGAAAACCAAAAGGTTGAAAGGTCGGCTTTGGGCAAGTGAGAAAGTCTTCAGGTTCCCTGTAACAGCCCAGACCAATCCCAAACAAACCGTGCCAAGCTTTGAACAGTGAAATCCATTTGCTTAAGCCCCGTGAAAAATAAATAAATCCAGTAGTGAAATCGATTCCCTTTAAAACCAGCAAGGGAAAATTGGAAAAAAGCAAATGGAAGATGGGTGGCTTCCTTTTGGTCTGCCTTTGAAAACCAACCATAAGGGGGTCCATCATTGATAGAACCCCCCCCCCATATACGCACAACGTTAATGTAGTTGACCAAGACCCCGTATGAATGTTGACCCATCCTAGGGGGCATGTTCCCCACCCAGTTGGACACCCCCTATGAATAAACTGGGGTTTCATAGGCAGGGAATGAGTTGGAATGACCAACGAAAACCATCGCCTATGGCTTCCTACAACGGACTCCAACCCCCAAGTGGATGATGAACCGCCCTCTCGCTTGGCAACCTCCGGATTTCGGCGTCACGAGCGTCCTCCGCCAAAGCCAGCACGATGGCGGGCTCGTCATAGGAGACCTGGCTCGTTGCTTGGCCTTCTGACCTCCGTGGATTGGCTCGAAATAGGTATGGGTCAAAATTAGTCACCAGGAATCGGACCACAGGTTAGTCCATGTTTCCACTTACCAGGATTCCATTTTGGTACATATTTGGGTATAATCAAAATACAACCACACGCACACACACAGACCCTTTCCAGAAGCATTGCTCAGCTCCATAGCTCTGAAGCAGAGTCGCTTGTGGCCTCCGCACGGCTGCCCTCAAAATCTCGAAGCATTTTCTAGGGACGGGACTCCCGCAAGAAACCGGGGGGGGAGCACGTTTTTGGTTTGGCTTCAAGCCGCTTTTCTTTTCCCTTCGGAATCCCTTTTGTGGTTTTGGTTGCAAGCCCCGTTGTTCGCGAGAAGTAAAACATGGATAGGGTAGGGTAGGCCCCTGCCGTCCGGGCTGTCAAATTCCAGACGTCTCGGTTCCGTTTTGGGACAAACGTCAAACCCCAACGAAAAAAACGGCCATCTCGTCCCACCTCCACAGCAAACAAATCGCTCCCAGTTCACTTGGGTCGCAATTACAAAAAAAGTCTGAAAACAAAAAAGGCACTCTCCAGCTGAACGGATCGGTGAGGATCATTGGGTTCCCACAAACTCTTCCCAAATACAATGCTCCAAACATGCTCCAACATCTTGTTGAGTTGGGGGTCCTTCAGTCAAGTTTACGAGGCATCTTTCAGTCTTTCTCACATGGCGTCGTCAGAATATTGAGGGAGAGTCCCAAAACTTACGACAAAGAATGGAAGTTGCCGCACCCATTTGGGGTGGTTCTTTGTTTAGGGAACCCCCCCCCAAATGAAACAAGTTCGCCACAACTCAAGAAGCCCAAAACGGGGGATCCTGTGACAAGCGCGGTCCAGTTTTTAGCCCGGCAGGAGACCTTCTGGGGGAAGCCCCGTTTAGTGACCCCGTTTAGAGTCTCCATACCCTCCCATTTACATGGAACCTGACGTTCGGGACCCGGTCCCTTTAGGAAAATTGTCCAAACCACCCCCCGAAGCTCGGGTTCCATGTTACTTGGTGGGGTGTGTCAAAATCTTGGGGGGGATTCGGATTCCAAAAAAGTCCTGACCTTCCTTAAGCGGCTTCCTTTGAAAAACAAAACTTAGGCACCTTCCAAAGACCACCCCAACATGGTCATGGCAAGCGGAATTGGGCTCGGCTTCGGAGCCTTCGGAGGCGCCAGCGGGGCGCCCCGATCCGCAAAGAAGACCTGGCAAAGGTCAAACGTCCCGCGGGGCCGACGGGCCCTGCGAAAGTGCGACAGCTTTTGAACTGGTTCCTCGGTTGATCTGTGGGCCCGTGGGGGATCATGCTAACTCTGATGGGGCCATGGCTGTCAAAATCCAAATCGGTTAGCCCCCAGTGAACATCCGATTCAATCCAACCACTAGAATAAAGCGACTAAAATGGGTGGTGAAAACACCTACCAACCAAAATGGCATCCCATTGGTTTTAACCCACAGGGATCCTTACATTGCACACCTGCACATTGCCTTGTAAATGGTGGTCTCCCTCTATTTTGGGTGGAAAAGGCCCATGTTTTAAATGGGCCAAATGGAGATCTTTTAAGGAGCCCTGACTCACCGCCATGGATAAGTTGAGGAGTTTTTGAGCCGAGCGACTGGGACCTGCCTCATTTTCCAAGCGCAAAAGTTCGAGGTTCAACTCGTCAATGGGCCAAGCCTCTAGAAAACGGGTTGGATGTGTTTTTTGTGGTTTCACTATTGTAGAAGGTTAAAAGAGTACTACAAGAGTACTAAAAAAAGGACCAACAGGGGGAAGAACAGGTGAAATCCACAAAAGGCGCATCCAAACCGTTTGATAGAAAGCCAGGCTCACGCCTTTTGCAGTGACTGGGGAGCATGTGGGTGTGATGTTTAAGGGACCCTGCGGTGGACACCGGGATTTATGTCCACCAACCACTTTGGAGGTGGTTCCTTCATACAAATTACGGTCGTGTTTGTTGCAGCTGTTCGCAAAACGAGCACCGAGTGCGAAAAGCTGTCCTTCCCCCAACCCGCGCCCAGCAAAGGGTGTCCGTTTTGTTCAGCTCGCCAAAAGGCGATGCACAGCCGCGCGCTTGAGTCCGGCAGTGCTGGTTGACCCCAAAGTCGAAACCAGAGGGCTCCTTCGAAATGTCTTTGCAAAAAAACAATCGAGGGTCGTGGCTTTTTAGGAATAGGTAGAAGAATTCTAACCCGTGTATTCTACCCCTTACGTTCTTCAGGCTGTGAAAAAGACCTGTTGGTTCCCTAATTACTGAGAACCAACAAGAAAAACACCTTCAAGTAGGCTGTCCTCAGAGCCCTACTCAAAGTGAATAACTTTTAGTGGGCGAAATGGAACCACCCAGTGAACCAACCAAAAAACCACCAAAAACGACCAAACACCTAGAGCACCGGACGGCTGGGAAGCACCTAAAACCAAAACACAAAAAAAAGAGAAAAAAAAAGAAACACCAAAAAAACACAAACACAAACACCAAAAAACACTAAAGACCACCAAGTCCATGTCTTGAGGTTCGCAAGCCGGCCCGAGCCGACGCCTCCAAGGGCTCCGCGGCGCGGCGGTTCAGCGCCGAGATCATGTTCAACACCAGGTTCAGGGAGGCCTGGCAAATGGAAAATAGAGGGAATGGGGGAAGTGGGTTGGTCCAAAATGGGGAAGCTCCCCATGAATTTGGACGCCTGGCATTTATGAAAGTCGAGGGAAAAGGGGGCAGTGTGGGTGTTTTTTCGTCCAAACTGGGGCAGATGTTCCCCCCAGAAAATGTGTTCATGGTTTCCCTCTTGAAATTCCGAAAAGCAACCTCTAACGAGGCACGCCCAAATGGATTAAAAGGGCCGGTGCGAACCTTCTAATCTTTTCTTGGGGGATGGTGATGGCCCATCGAGCCCGCGGCAACCAGCGCCCTCAAAACAAAGCAACGGATGGACCGCACTTACACTTTGCTGATGCCCAATGTTTGACCACATTGGCAAATAGAAAGGAGTTGGTCTCATTTTGTTCCTGTTCAGTTTTTTGGGCGCAGGTGGCCAAAGTCGAAAGTCGAGCACTAGGCATTGAGCACGTCGGAGTGCTGAAGCTGCGATCCGCGGCAAGGGGCCGAAGTCCGCCAGCCCGTCTCCAACCGCTCTGAGCGCGCGCAGGCGAGGAGTTGCACCACATGCACGGTGCCGCAGCGCTGCAGAAACAGTCCCTCCTCCTCGGCTTAATCTTCCATATTGCTTAAGCCCCCCCGGAAAAAACAAAAAAAATCCGGCAGTGATAGATTCCCTTTAAAACCAATAACCTACATAGCCAAGTTGCCGTTTTTTTCAGTCACTGTTGCTGGTCTTTAGGGTAAAGTGCATGGGAAAAAAAGCAACTGGCGATCCAGGAAGGGAAAATAAGACATGCCGAAATAACTGGAAGTCCAAATCAAACATGTCTTAAAACTGCCAAAAACATAAAACTACTTCCAAACAAAATATATCCTTCGCGGCCTCGTTCCTTCTTGCCCCTCGCCCGCAGGCACACGCAGCATGAGCTAGTGAAGCATCGCAGGTAGCAAATCCCCAGCTGCACGCAAAAACAAAAAAACTCAGGCACAAAGGCCATGCAAATTAGCCATGCAAAATCTGGGCTATCAATCTCCATTGCGGGTTCTGCGCATATGGAGCAGGGCAAACTGTTGGTGCAGCCATCAAGGGCTCCAATTATTCAAAGGGGCGGTTGCCAACATTGGGGAATCGAGCATCGTTGGTTTCCAATTGTGCCCAACTGCGAAAACCACACCTGATGCCCAATGCTTAAAATGGGTGCTTGCAAACATTGGTAAATAAAGGAGTTGGTCTCATTTTGTTCATACAGGTGCTGCCCCCGAATGGAAAATCCAAACTGGTTGGTCTCCAATTGTTCGAACGGGTGCTTCCCAAATTGGCCAAACCAAAACATGTGAGTTGCACTTTTCTCGAAGTTGGGGGTGATATCCAATGTTTCCAAAAGCGTTGCCCAAAAGTGAAAAACAAAATGGTTGGTTTCCAGTTGTTCCAAGTTTGGAGAACCAAAAATGGTTCAAATAACAGGGTTACATAAGTCCACTCGATTGTTCGGACTGCTGGCGGAAGCCTTCGTTCCGCCCTGTGCCCGGCGCATTTGGATAGGCTAAATTGAGAGCAAGCCACGGTCAAAAATCCCCGTGGCCCCACGAGGGCGCATCCCCTTCCCCCGTGTTTTGAAGTGAACCACGTGGCCAAAAAATGTCCTGGAACTTCAGATTTACCACTAAAATGGTCCAAACCCAACAAATGTTTACAGTGCAGGAACTCAGGAAGTGAGACAACTTGCTGGTTCCACTTTTGCTGATGCGCTGCTCCACGGTCGCTTGCCCAGGACCCAACAGCAGCACAGATCCGCAGTCATTTCGAACCTCATGTGGGAAATCAGACATGTCCTTTCAACCCCCAAATGATGGGTAACTGTTCAACCGAGTTGACATATCCTCATTTGTTTTCGTGGCTTTCCCCCATAGTTTTAAAAGTGGGACATCTCATCTGTTCTTTTCCGCCAATTTTCCCCAATGACTAGTGGGACATATCATCTCGCGGTTTTCCAACAAACAACGGGAGCCACGTTTACACCGCCGGAAGCTTTCGATTTCTACGTCGTCCATCCGCCATCCGGGCCTCGTCCACCTGGCTCTTGGCCCGGGTCAGTGTGCTGGCGGTGGAGACCTCGGAGCTTGCGGGGAACGCGACGACGCGGGGAACGCGGGCGGGAGACGCCAAAGAATCGCCGCCGTTGAGGGACTCTGAAGGAAGCTGATCTTCCAGGCACCAAAGGTGGGAGGAAGGGCACCAGCTACCCTCCAGGCGCCATGGCAAGGGAGGCAGGGTATCCTTTTCTAGGGCTACCAATTCCATTCTGAACCCAGGGATCCGAATCTTAGAAACCCTCCGGAAACCCAGGGAGAACGGATCCTGTTTTTTGGAAAGAACGATGGTTGAACAGAATGGCTGGAATGAACCTCGAAAGATTGGGGTTCAAACAAGCTACTCCAAAACATGTTTTGGTATGGATGGCTTGCGAAATCCAGATTGAGGGTAAGGTCACCATAGACCTGCAGTACTGTAAAACAAAAACTGCCAAACTTCCAAAAGGACACCTGTGCACCGGGTTTTGTCTTTGAACCCGGCCCGGTGGATGTCCTCTAGTGATTGCGAGAGTATCGCGAATACACCGAGCCGCATGTTCAGGAATGGCTTCCTAGCTTCCTAGGGGGTCATTTCACCCCCCCCCCCCCAAAAAAAAAAGAAAGAAGAAGAAAAGAACTGTAAAAAAAGTGATTTCTGCAACGGGCATGTGAGATTCAAAACCCGGGCACCCTCCGATGGCTCTCCGCTCATCTTGGCTTGATAAGCAGAGCTAAGGGGGCAGTCAGATCCACATTGCAGCCAAAACACCACTTGGGGACGCACATTTTGGGGGATCCGTGCTAATTCTCGCAGCCCTCAACGCGGCAAGCTGCGTCGCTCGAGGCCAACCGCCGGCGCGCGTGCTCCAAAGGCTCCCGCGCTGGCAAGATCGTCGTCCCTTCGAGCTCTCTCCGACGGCCTCGTCGACTCGTGCGGGCGAGGCCGCGGTCGCAGTGGCAAGCAATCATTCATATTTCTAGGCTTGTCAAGGGATGGACACTCCCCACCTAGATGATGCCCACAAGAAGTTCAAGGAGCTCCAATAGGGATTTTGGGTTTTAATGGTTATTATAGGGGTTGATTCCTTTTCCATTCTGTTCAACCATGGTTCTTCCAAAAACCGGATCCGTGTTCCCGGAGGTTTCCGGGGGTTTCTGGAAAGAAGGATCCCTGGAAAGAATGGGGAAGGTACCCCTGGAATATTCCAAACTTGGTAGCCTTTTTGGGGCGACCAGCCGACCCCAAATGATGTCCCAAGTGAAGGATTGTGGGACACCCAGTCAACCAGTGGCTTTTCATGGCACCTTCCTCCCCCACCCCACCCCACCCGCCCCACATGCGCCCACCCCACCCCCCCACCCCACCCCACCCCACCCCACCCCACCCCACCCCACCCCACCCCACCCCACCCCACCCCACCCCACCCCACCCCACCCCACCCCACCCCACCCCACCCCACCCCACCCCACCCCACCCCACCCCACCCCACCCCCTCCCCACCCCGCACCCCCCCCGTTGGCGTGCTCCCGTCATCTCCCGCCAGGCCGCTCCCGTGCGAAGCGCATGCCCAAACTCGCGGCCCAGCCATTCGCCTGCTCGGCAGATCGGAACGAACCGCCGCTCGAGCTCATAGATACGACCTTCCCTCCGTTTGCTTGGGACCCCTGCAAAACAAATTAAGACACATATGTGCAATAGTGATAGATTCCGGTAAAGCCAAAAGAGCTTAATACAAACAGTCTGAAGCTGATGGGAGCATCTATGGCCAAATGACTCTTAACAGGTATCGACGGCATCCTCGAAAAAGGGCCCTTCATGAACAGCGAATCGGTGAGCTCGTGTGCTCAAACATTTCTTGGCCCAAACAAGTGGAGCCCTGCAAAAGGTGAAAAAAGGTTGAAAGGCAAAGGGAAAATTGAGGAAAGCAAAAGAGCACAGGGCTTCAACTTCAACGCTTTGTTGAGTCTGGAAATATGTACGTCCAAAAAACAGAACCAAACTGAGACAGTGTGGTTCAAATTATACTCAAACAAACTCAGAGAAGACAACTCTCCCCAAGACAAGAAGTGGGTAGAAGCTTGCATCAAAGCAAGCGGAACAAAGGACATAAATATCTCTGTCAGCGTGTTTCACTCCCAAATCGACCTAATATATGGGTCCAAACACTTCCCACCGATAAAAGTAGCTACCATCTGGACCCATCCGCCGCTTTCGCGCCTGCCGCGGCCCAGGCGACACGGTGGCCCCGTCCGCGTCCCCCGCGGCGCGTTGGCCCAGCTCCAGCTGCATGGCCCCTCGTCGAGTGGAGGTGAGGTAAGGCGGGCAGGCGGTGGGGTGGAGGTGGAAGATCATTTTCCTCAAGGGGCCCCACCAACCTAGCAACCCTTTTTCATGTAATTTATGATGCACCACTTTCAGAAGAACAAAGCCGAGAAGGTACGCTACGGTTTCCCTTTGGCCTCCAGAAGAAAGCAAAAAGAAGAAAACAACCGCCCAGCCCACCCCACCTCCAGCCCGCCTTACCTCACCTCCACCCCACCCCACCCCACCCCACCCCACCCCACCCCACCCCACCCCAGCCCACCCCCACCCCAGCCCTGTTCGATTCGGAGGACCCTCTCTCACCCAGCGCTTCGCTTCCGACGCGATGGGAAACTTCGGCGCCTTCGAGGCCGTCGGCCGCCAGCTGAAAGGCCCCAAGGGGGCAACTCACCAGGAGGCCGCACTGCTCCTCGCAGCGCCGCGCGATTTTTTCTCTTGTTCGTTGGATTTGACATGGGATGTCGTGAGCTAAGGTTCTGCACAAGCTTTAGATATACTAGGTCGTAGAGAGGTTAGAATAAGGGTACCGTTTCTTTTTTCTGTAGTCTCTTTTAGTAGGGGAAACCCTCCCAACCAAAAACGGGGTGAGAAAGGGCACTACTGACTACTGGGGGACCTAGGATTTGAAGTGGGCGGTGGTCAGAATGCAGGCTTGGCCAATCCGATTTCCCAAGATCTGATGGTCTTTCGGAGTTGAAGCGGGCAGTTTTAGGGATGGGGTCTCAGTGTTGGTGATTCATTTGAGGGAACCCCCCCCCAGAAAAACGATGGAGGCTCGGCCAGTCCACGTTTTCCAGATTTTATAGAGGGAACCACCTTTCAACCGCCCAGATGTCCGGTCCTTTTTGGGGGGATATGGGAAAAAACCAAACCTCACCTCCAATCCAATGCACCAGGTAGGCCTTCCTTTCTTTTCTTGATCTGAAAATACCGCGAACCGCACACCCCCCCCGCAGTCCCCCCGACCCAAGCGAGTGCCTTTTTGTCAAATGAAAATACCACGCAGAGTGAAGGGCGGGGGTGGGTGATGTTAGAAGCGGGTGAAGGCCCTTATTACTTGATTGGATCGACATGGTTGAAAACATCACCATAATCAACTCAAAGCATGAGAGAAACGGGTTTGACGTTCTTACCTGGTAAGGGTCCGTTGGGCCTTCCGAGCTTCGAAAAGCATAGCAAAAGTAGAGGCCCATCTGGGGGCTCCTTCTAAAAACACGCACACGGAGGAGCACGTCCTCCAATCAGATTCCGGTCCATACTTTGGCCCTTCAAATGCAGCAGGTCAGGAGAAAACGGGGGGCTGGTTGATCAACCACCTACCTGGTGCCGATCACATGGCTTTCACTCAGTGGACTCCTGGAGAATCGTCAAGCTGCCGCGCAGGGTCCACCTCTCCCCCGTGATCATCCTGACCTATCTGCGAGTCGAGGCTTTTTCTGCGGGTTTAGGGTGGTGGGGGGGGGGGCAAAAGATCATTGTTTGTTGAAGGATTCAAGAATTCTATCCCGAGAAACAGGCATCATAGAACGACGGTTCCCTGGTTTTTTTAGGAGTTGCCTGACAAGGTCTTGATAGAATCTAATTTAGCTTTGTTCCCGACACATTGCTGTAGTGTGTATATGAATATATACAAACAACTACTTGAATATTATCACCACAACACTGAGGGTTCATTCCCAAAAAATAAGCCCGGCATTCAAAGATTCAAATCAATAGCCCTGCACGGCCTTCGCAATTTACTCGAAGGAGATGCCCAGAAATCATACTAAAAACCGTCCAGCCGCAGTCGAACGCCTCACTGCAATTTCTGCAAATTCCAAAATGTCGAGTTTCCTCTGAGAACAAACACGTATTCAGTCTGTCATTCATACGGCACTATTGACATATGGCTGTGGGTCAAAACCCGGTACCCCCAGTGAACATCCCAATCCCCACTAAAATAGACTAAAATGGGTGGTGCACCTACCCCAAAATGGTACCAATTGGTGTTGATATGAGCCCCAAACAAATTTGCTCGTTTTCCTTGACATAGGGAGTTGTGGGGAGACCCTGAGGTTGTGGCAACTTTGGCACTCACCCTCTCCGGCCGGTTCCATTGCAGCACTCTCAAAATGAGCCCTCAAATTGCGACAAAACATGCCTGTGGTGTCCTCAGATCCCCCGCCAAAAGGTTGACTTATAGTGGGTTAAATGGACATCCAGCCACTAAAACCACCTAAACACCCATTAAAACCCCAAGTTGAGCCGGACGGCTGGGAACCTAGATGAAATCACCACCAAACATCCCGGCCAGACGGCTTCAAAAACCTCGCTGGAGGGAACTCTTCCTCTCCACTCGGACTCGGCCGCCGGCGGAGAAGCGCCCGGGCGGGCCTTTCACCACCTCGCGGTGGCCCAAACATCTCTGAACGCGGGGGGTCGCAGAGAAAGGCCTACAAAAAAGATGCATCTGCCTTTGAGCGCCCTTTTTCCCGGAGTTGGTTCCGAAGGAACGCCCAAGGGACACCCAAAGGTGCATGGCCATTTTGGGGGTCCCGATGTTGGAGACAAAAACTATCTTTGAGAGGCGGGGTTTGCCTAGTTGGAAACACCAACATGATGGACGGAAGAAGAATCTCCAAGTTGGTTGATAATTGTATGATCTTCCTCGGTCCTGACTCAGTTCGGTCAGCCTGGGCCTTTACTCCGCAGCTTAACAGGGAACCCAACAACACTTCCTCTTTAGAGGAACCCCCTTTGGTGGAATCAATGCCCTTGCCAGGTTCCATGTCCATTCGGGGAGCACAACCTCACTACTTCCACCCGGCAGTAGACACCCTTGATTGAACGGGGCAACAGGGGCAACGCCCATGAACGTGACTTTCGGAAACCAATACAGTCCCAGGGATTGAGGCGGAGAAAGCTGGGAAGCTGATCAAAGGTGAGAGGAATCAGCCAAAAAGGCGGTCCTCAAAAGGAAACGGAGGGTCTTTTTCGGCTCCATTAACATTGGACCTCTCAAGATGGTAGACCTCTTCACGATCTTGAAAAAGGGACACCAACCGGAAAACTGCCCCTTTTTGCCATCCACGGGCTTCTCTGGTAAGCAGGAAACGGAGGGAACCCCAGAAACTGGTATCGGGAAATGGGAGGGACACTCCGCGCCCGGAAACTCCGCGCCTGGCAGCTCCGGGAAGGCCTCCAGTGGCAACCGTCTCATGTCTGCATGGAACACCACCACTGCCCCCCCCCCCAAAACGAAAAACAAAAACAAAAAAAAGAAACGCAAGAAGGGTACCCCCCCCCAAAAAAAAAGGGGGGAAATCACGAAGAAAAAGAGGAGACGCAAGAAGGGTACGCAAAAATGTGGAGGAAAACACAAAACAAAACAATAAGAAACTAAAAAAAGGAGACGCAAGAAGGGTGCGCAAAGTGTGGCATATTTTTGGGAGGGGGATGTGGCTGGCGTATACACCCCGCAAAGCTTCAAGCAGCCTCCCACCACTTCACCTGACGTTCGGGGGCCCCGGCCCCTTTTGGCCCCTTTTAAAAGGGAAAATGGTCCAAACCAGGACCCCGAAGGTCAGGTTCCATGTTTCTTGGTGGGAGGGAACTCTCGTTCTCACTTAGGGGCCCTGGTGCTCACCATTGGAAAACCCTCCAGTCGTCCAACTGGTGGTTTCAGCTTTTCGCTTTTCTCATGGAACACACAAATTCACGCACGCCGGAACACAGACCACTTAAAACACTGAAGGGGTTGCCTGTCTGGAAAGGGCGCTTCCCGTGTTGGCATGATGCCCAAGGAAGCCTGCGGGCACGCAGTTTGAAAGTAGGCTTCTGCGGCGCATCACACTTCATAATGACTAGGACGCCTCACTTTAGGACTTGTACTACGCCTCAAACTTGATAATGATTCAGTTGTGTCACATTAGCTGGGCCTATGACTTCAAAACGAGTGTCACATCACTTTAGGGTTTCTGCTGCGCCTGTCCGCCTACTCTTAGGGCCGCTTCTGCGCATCACACTTCAAGAAGACTTGGTCACCTCACATTAGGGTTTCTGCTACGCATCACACTTCACAATATTCCATTTTTAGGGTTTATGATGCACATCACAATTCATAATGACTTAGTCCAGCCACTTTAGGGTTTCTGCTGCGCATCACAAGTCATAATGACAAATTCAGGCTTCTTCTGTGCATCACACTTGATAATGACCTCTGCTGGACGTTACAATCGTAATGATTCAGTCGCCTCACATTAGGGTGTCTGCTGGGCTCATCTGAGTCACAATAAACCCCAGTACAAAAATGGCCGACCCAGATCCATGTAAAGAACTACGAAGGCGAATTCCCGCAGCTGTTTCTGGTTGGGATCGGCCCTTACTAACCTTCACTTACCCGAATCGGTTTTGAGCACGTGGCTCATCTGGCGACTTGAGGCACCCGGCCGAGCGCTGGGCAGAAGCGGGCGTAGCGTGTCCAGCAAGGCGTTGAAAGCTGCTTCGAGAGCCTGGCCCGACTTCACCGAGGAACCCAATGAAGAGTTCCATTTAAATGTGTGGCTGGTCAAAGCCAAATGGGATCCCGTTTTGGTTGGTAGGTGAATTCACCACCCATTTTAGGCTTCCTATTTTGGTGGTTGGATTGAATCGGATGTGAAAACTGGGGGCTAATCGATTTGGATTTTGACCCATAGCCATATTGACAGTTACATCTTTGGGAATCGGAGGACTCTGACATTCCGGGCTGATGGGCCCGTGGCGCCAAAGGGATGTTACAGGACATGGAAACACCACTGGATTCTGGATGCCCAGAAAAAATAAAGAGGAAACTCTAGGAGTGGCAAGATACTGTGGATGGTTGCGAACTCCAGAAATCGCACCACCGTTCAGAACCCTGGTTTATGAGTCGATTCCCCTGCAAATACCTACAAATCATGACTTCCCCTGGTTTCAAAGCGGTGAAAGATTTCGACCGAAATCTGACTGCAACCAAAAACTCACCACGGCCTCCAGGCGCCGGTCCACCAGATCTGCGCGCCCCAGCTCCTAGCCGGGGTGCCCAAGATGCCCGAAGACAAACTACTTGCTGGCGCTGAGTAGGGAATGATCTTCCGGGTGTTGGGAATGAACGTAGGAATTATGTTTCAACCAAAAAAAAAAACAAGGAACATTGATTTTGTTGGGTCATTCCCTCGTTCCTTGCTGAGAACCAGCAACACAAACATGCAACCCAAAGCATCGTGGGGCAAAACTTGCCCAGCCCGGTTTTGGTGAGACCAAACCTGCCATGATCACAAGTGTCACAGTGCATTCGTGTTAAAAGCCGGAATGCTGGGAGCTGCTCATGTGAACCAGGAGAGGTTCCAACCCATGCCCCATCCAGGGCTCATGCAAGCAGGGGTTTTGGGCGCTGCGCGTGTTGATCCCTTTCAGCAGCGAGAGCCCTGCCTTGCCCGGTCGGCAAGCCGCAACCAGCACCACCAAGGAGCAGAACACCAGCAACGGCACCTGCCGGCTGACCAGTTGACCCTGGCTCCTGAAAAAAGGTTCTTTGAGGCGCCAAAAAGAAGACCATTGTCCTCTACAAGCGACCCTCTGATAGATTCCAAGTTACGGGGGAGGGAATTCATTTCAACACGTCTTGCTTGGCGGCAATGAACGCTCATTTTCCGAGAGGGCCGTGCTTGCCCTGGCCGAAACTGGACGTTTCCCTGATAAAAGTTTAACTTTTGAGTGTTTTTGTCTTTTTTTGGAAGCTACAACTCAACCCTAAAAGCTTAAATGGCAGTGGTCAAAAACAGGTACCCAAAAGAAACAATGACTAAAACGTCTGGTGCCCTGGTTTAACTTTGACCCACCGCCAAATCACCAAGGGGATGGCTGGGAACCGTACGAGTAGAGAACTGGAATCTGGCCCCAGAACCTCATCGAGCGAATCTGTGTCAAACGAGTCTTTCCAAACCTAGGTCCTACAGTAGAGAGGTAAAACAAAAACAAAACAAAAAAAAACAGTCGATTTTAGTAGGGGAACCCTCCCAACCAAAAAAGGGGTGAGAGGTCGCACTACTGAGGGACCTAGAAACGGTAAGCCTTCAACGAGTTCCCAAAAGGAATATGAACCACAGGCCCATCCTAACCCAGTCCCCGAGACCCGAGACAAAACTCGTCTCCAGCAGTCGTTTGCCGCTTGGTGTCCCTGCTTCTTCAAAGCCACAAGAGATCACCTTTTTAAACCTCGCCGGCCTCGCCTCAAAGTTGGTCCCCAAAATCCAACACCCGAGATCCGCCCCAAACCCCCCCAAACCCCCCCAAACCCCCCCAAACCGCCCCCAAATCCGCCCCCAAACCCGCCGAAATCCGCCGGCCTCCGCAGCTGCGGGCAGCTGGTCCCTCAGCAGCCACAGCGCCAGCGGCGCCAAAGCGCAGCTGGCGCACCTGGCAAGATCTTGGCGCGGGAACTTTCGACAAAATCAGGGACCATGTGTGTGTTTTGTTCTTTTTGTTTTGGGGGGGGGGGAAGCTTGATCCAGGGATACTGTGGATGGACGAAATCCTGCACCACTTTCAAACCATGGTTGAAACCTTGGTTGGTGGGTATTTGCAGGGGAATCGACTCATTCCAGGGTTTCTGAACGGTGGTGCGAAATGGATTTGGTCCATCCACAGTATGCTTGTCCATGGGGTTCGTCTAAGAAAGCGGGTTGAGCCTCCTGGGAGATTTGGGTATGTGCCTCACTTCCTATAGAATTTCCTGGGAGATTTGGGTTTGGAAGTAACGTAGATCCAAGTATTTTGAGCTGTAATGCGGGTAGTCTGGGTCGTTGAAACCAAGGCTTAAACCACTGCTGAACAAACCGCCTTTGCAACTTTGAAGGGGACCCCTTTTTTCTGCACATTGGGAACCCTCCCAACCAAAAAAGGGCAAAAGGGCACTGAAAAACCTAGCCATTAGGCGTTCCCCCTCCCAAAGTCCAGCTCAGTCTCCCTGGCAGTAACTCCGCACTCGCACGGGCGGTGTCCATTGGAGGTGTCCTTGTGGTGTTGAAACAGCTTGGAGGGCCCTTTGTGGTCCCTCCATGTTCCTGAGACGGGAACTTGTCAAAAGGCAAGCCTTTTAGATCCCGATGCTTTCCCCTGCATCACCCTGCAATAGGATTTTTGTTTCTTGAATTCGGTTGCCCGCAATGCGACTTTCGAATCCCCTAAGGCAAAATACAGGTGCTCGAACAAAGGGGCTGCAAAAAGGACCGTTTGTCGAGCGGCTCTCCAACAAAAGATCATTGAGCAAGACCCAGACTTAAACCCACCGTGCGTCAGCCCGTCCGACTTCAAACCATGGCCGGCAGCACAGAAGGTGGCGTTTCCAGGCTAATGGTCCTGCAGTTGAAAAAGAAGAAGAACAAAAAAACGACGACGGCCCCCCCAAGACGGTGTGAAACGCTTTTGTGCTCGGGTGGCCTGGTGGACATCTTCTTGGGATGCTTGTAGCTCTCGTTTTGCAGAGTTGCACGACTTGATTCCACGGCTATTGTTTGGGCGTGGTTGCCCCAAAAAAAGTGGAGTTTACAGGGCCATCCAAAGGGAAAACATGCGTCCTGTATTATTTGGTGACAAGATTTCCCAAGCTTTCAACATGTCAAGGCAACCCCTCAACCGCATGGGGGTTGTGCAAAATTACTTCTCCTGCAACCTGCCCTTCTGCCCTTCCGCAAAACTTCCACGCACTTCCGCGCGCACTTCCGCGACCACTGTACATGCAAGCCCCTATGCTTCCAAAGACCATTAAAAGTATGGGCGAGGGTCAGAGGCCACAAAATGGTTAAAGACCTATAAACGTAGGCTATAAACGGGGATTGTACAAAGTTGGCTTTTTTGGTCCTATCGGTAAGGCAACAGGATGAGAAGTCAATCAGCCAACTGCCTAAGAATGTCACATAATATTACATTTGAGTGCGGTTGATTGCGAGGATTTTAAGCCTGCTTGCGGATGAATATGCGTCGTCCAAACAAAAATTATGACAAGCAATCTAATCAAACGGGCTGTGCTTACTTCACAGCTATTTCCAGGACTTGTCTTACGCGCGGAAATTTGCCCGACTCCCAATGTTCAATGAACACATGAAACTTGGGCGCTTTAGTCTTTTTTTGCTCATAAACTTTAGGCAAGAAACTTTGAACGTCCAATGTGCTGCAACCGTTCTCCCAGCAAAAGGAGGTGAGGGTGGGGGGATGTCCGCACCTTTTTTGGTCGAAGGACAAACCATTATCGGCAATATCTGATGTATTGTTTTGCCTGGGAATCGTTTGCCCGCAACCAGGGGCCTGTCCATAGGGGAGTTGTACATGCCTTCTTCGGGAGTTGTCCACGCCTTTTTATGGTCGTTCCACGCCTTTTTATGCTTGTTCCACGGTTTGTCCACGGTTTGTCCCTGGTTTGTCCACGGTACATGTTCTTTTGCCGAAGGAAACAGCGTTTTCATCGCAATCGTTTGCAGCCTGTGACTTGATGAGTGAAGGCAAAAGAAAAAGCGAGCAACACAATATAACACATGGCAACTCGCACACACTATCCAGCTGGCAAAGCGGGGCTTGGACGCACCAGCAGTTCTGCAGGATTCGGTTCCAAGATAGTCCAAATGTTTCTCATTAAGTAGCCAGGGCCCGGCGCGAGGTGTTCAAACTACTTTGCCTTACCAAAGCGAATGCAGTTAATATGACTCTACAAGGCTCAAAGTATGCCGTTTGTCTCAAATCCCCGTGCAAACGATCAGACATGTACGCCGATTGAAGTGCGATGTATTGAGCGTTGCAATTGAGGCAAACACGTTGCAATCACATCCAAAAACACTTAAGATCCAAGATAACTCATATTCGGCCAATCAAATATTGCCTTCGACCCTCTTTCCTTATGGTCGAGGGACAGAACCAGGAGGTTTGCGCAGCTTATGGCCATGTGCACATAAAAGTATTGTCGAGGACGCCCAGGGAGCACAAGTCTTCAGTTCGTTGAGGTGTTCGGTCAAGGTTTTCGGCTGTTGTCTTTGATTTAAAATTTAGCCTCCCTTTTGGTTGCCTGTAAAAAAAAAAAAAAACATCCTTCGTTTTGTCAATACAAACAAAAAAAGACACGATCATAACTTTCTGTCCCCAGCCCGCGTCCCTTCCGCGTCTCTTCCGCGTCTCAGCTCATGCCATGTGGGCCCGGGAACTTGGAATGCTCAACCGAACACATGGGTGTTTGCAGGGTCCTCACGTGCGTCTCTTCAAAGAAAAACCAGGACTTTCCCCAGAATCCGCGATACACACGTGACTTTCGCAAGAATCTGCCAATAAAAACATGCCTTTCCCAACAAAATCCGCCATCCTTTTTCTTGTTCCTCCTTCTTCCTTTCGGCTTCCCTCCGCAGACCGAAGCGCTTCGAGAGGCGCCCCTCCCTCCGCTGAGCCCCACACCCCGGCCCCGCGCGGGCGGCATGAGCAGCTCCCCCGGCGGAAGGCTCAGGGCCTCGCGCCAGCGCGGGGTTTGGTTCGGTGGCTTCCACTTGGCCGCTCCAAGCCAAAGGGATCGGGATGTTCACCGGTACGGGGTTTTGACCCGCCATTTGGTTAAGACCCCTGGATTTTTTTATTAGAAAATGTGTCCAGTAGGGATAAATCCCCTTTAAAACCAATAGTCTTCAGCAAATGGAAGGTCGTATTGAGTCAGGCACTCTTCTCGCGATGTTCCTGTCTTCTGAAGCTCCGAGCCCTGGACAATTTTTGGGAAGTTCGCCCGAAGTGCCGAACATCCCAGGAATCTGAAGAGCCGTTGATGTCTGTCAGACCTTCCCCATTGTGTTGAACTTGCAGACCTTAAAGGCGTTGGTCTAGGGTGCAGCCATTTTGTAGAGCTGGGGCGAAGGGGGGGGGGAGACTACATTCACTTTACGTGGTGGAAATCATTTCCACGTTCCACCCCCCACAGTTAATCCAACACAGCCCTTCTGGCAGGGCTGCTCTTCAAAAGGCCAAAGGGCGGGAAGATCAAAATTCAATACGGACTTCTTCGCGGAAGCGCAAATTCGCTGCTCTCACGCTTGGGCTTCGTTGGAGGGGAAGCGGGGTTAGGGGCTTATAGGCCAATGAGTCAAGACTTGAAACCAGGGGACGAATCTGGGCGAACAACAGAGTCCCAATGAAGCATGGTGGAATGCTCAGCTCATCCATGTGTAGCTTTCCTCTGTGTCCTCAGATCCCCCGCTAAAAGTGACTAACTTTTAGTGGGTCAAATGGAAAACGCCCCTAAACGCTAAAAGGATCTAAAAGCTAAGGAACCGGCAGGGTTGGGAGCCAAGTCCTTGAACAGCCAGCAAAGGAACTGCCATTGCCATGCTCACCACCCTGCAAACACGCCAAGCACGCGGTGTCGCCGCAGGTGGCCTTGTTGGAAAAGTAGATGGGTTCCCCTGGTAAATGGAACAAAACCCCTGTGAACCAGCGGCACCCATCTACTTTTCACCAGGCGCACCGATCAAAATGGACACCCATCGCGTTGTCACCCTTCCATGGCGTGCCTGCATGGCTGCGTTGAGGTTGGCGGAGAAGACCTGACCTCAGAGAGCTGCACACACGCAGCTGGGGGGTTGTACAAGGGATGATCAACTGCCCATCCCGGTCTGGGTGAATTGTAGTATTTCACCAACCTGATATATATATATATATATGTATATATATGTATTTGTATGTATATATCGAATAGTGATAGATTCCCTTTAAGTACCAACAGGGGAAAAAACACAAATCCTAGGTCCTCCAGTCGAGAGGTTAGAAGAAGGGTAACCTTGTTTTTCTGTAGTCTCTTGGCCCTCCCAACCAAAAAGGGGGTGAGAAGGGGCACTGATTCGAAAGCCAACGACTTTGATTTACAAGCGCAATACGCGAAGTGCACTTTGGCAGCTCTAGATCGAAAGTCGCGACTTTTGAGTACAAGTGTAGTACGCGAAGCACACTTTGGCAGCCGGTTATCACTGATGTCGTATATCCATATCGTTTTTGCTCCTTATCAAGTTTCATGTGTGTTTGCAGGTTTTGCAAAAACAGACCTAGTATTACCCCCCTTCCCCCGCCCCCCATCACCCCCCCCCCCCCCCGTTTTATGCGAGGCCTATTGGGGGATGGCCTTTGAGGATGGACAGGATGCAGGGAAAAGCTCAGCCAAGCCCCCCCCCCCCCGACCTCACCCTTCGGCCAGTGTCGCTAGGTTGCTACAAGTGGAAAAAAGTAGCCTGAACCAACTCAAAGGACGACTCGACCACTTCCCCTTCCCCTGCGCAACCCAACCCGACCTCACTCCCCTTCCCCCCCCCCCAAACACCCCCCCTTCCCCCCCCCGCACCTCTGCCCTCCGGGGCTCCAGGCCATCGTCCCCCCAGCCCAAGGGCGCCCTCAGCTGGTCGCAGGCATCGCCCAAGGCGGCCCTGTCCACCGCCCCCAGCAGCCGCGCATCCCAGCGCCGCAGCCGCAGCTGCTGCAGCGGTGCCAGCAGCAGCAGCGCCGGCGACACCGCCAGCGCCGCCTACGGCCGCACGGCCGACCCAGCGAGCCGACTAGCGAGCCGACGAGACCAGCGCCTTCGTCGGCATGAAGTCGGCCAATTTGGTTTTGCCAGAAGTCCAAACCTGAAATACGACTTGGATCCCCAAGTAAAGCATCCAATGATCATGAGTGCGTTTTACCCCCAGGTGAGCTCGCCACAAATTATGCAGATGAATTTGTTGATGACCATCAGATTCCAACCGAGCAAAGAAATTTGGGGTTTGCCAAGAGAGGCTCTCGCCAGTCTGCAGCACCCTTGCCAGCTGACCATTGGGCGCCCCGCCATAAACCCCCTTGCAATGGGCCTAGCCTTCCTGCGGCTTGGCGTCACTGCCCCCTTCCATGGTTTCAGCTGCGAAGTCCTTGAAAGCCTTGCTCTCTCTGGCAAGGAACCCCTTCTAAGTCACCCCACAGACGAAAACAACTTGGCGACTCTGAAAACAACTCTGACATAACAACAGCACAGCCAACATAGGCCAGTGTTTTGCATGCAATGGCTTGGAAAAATCCCCGCCATCCCGCTTGTTCTGAAACTTGTTCCTTGGATGGCCTGCAGTCCAGACCAAAACAAGGCGACTGCTTGTCGCGACCCGAGTCATTCCAATCTTCCGCCCCCCCCCCCCCCCTAAAACACCAGAAATCCCAGCAACCTCCGGCTTTTCACAACCCCAAGTGACATCCAAAAAGCTGTCCTTGGGGGATAGGGGGAGAAAAAAAATGGCCGCTCACAACGCCATGACGTTTGGGTATACTCTCCAAAGGGCTCCGGACTTGGGACCCTGCAAAGGTTTCATCCCAACGGACCTTCAACCGACGACCTCCGGGTTTGCAAGTCGACGGAAGTTTCAAAGCCTCGGCGCTCGACTTGGGCCTTTCTTTTTTTGGTGCCCTCTTAAAGTCTTTGGGGTTTGGAAGAAAGACACGCCCACTTTTTAGCGGGAAACATACCCTGGAAACCCCCAGTGTTCCTCTTGCCCTCCTCTTAAAATCCACCCAAAGGATACCCTTCCTTCCTTGCCATGCTACCTGGAGGGTACCTGGTGCCCTTCCTCCCACCTTTGGTGCTTCCAGGGTGGAAGATCCGTTTCCTTCAGAGTCCCTCCTGTCAGGTGCCACGGTAACAGAAAAAAGGGAAAACCTTTCGGCTGGTTTAAGGGGAAGAGAGGGGAAAACCCACCAAACACACCCACAGATGCCCAGTGGATTTCCATAAAAAACAAAGAATCGGCATCCTTTTTTTTGGTTGGCTGAGTTTAAAGGAATCGGAACCCTTCCCAAAAAAAAGTGGAAAGGGCGGAATCCACTGGGCACCAGACCCACCCGGCGCCGGCCCCAAACCTCTAGGGGCTGATTCCCCATTGGATCCCTTTCCCCTGGGTTTGACTGATGGTTTCCTGAAAAGAAAAACGGATCCCTGGAAAGAATGGCTCACTTGCTGATGGCCCCCAAAAAAGGAGCCGAACTCTATGTTTACCACATTTACCACTAACATGGTCCCAACCCAAAAAGTTGAAAGTTCGTTCATGAACTCAAAATGTGAGAAATGGGGCAGGTCCCCCTAGAAAACCCTCGTCGCCTCAGACTTGAGGCCCAGCACCGCCGCAGGCAGCGCCAAGCACAGCAGCGCCAAGTAGGGCGCGAACCTACCGGAAACGCGGACACGGCGCCCCCCATCGTTGATGGAAATCCCACTTCAAGTGCATTTTCAGGTGAATTTTGGAGGCATGGATGCCACTTGCTTCCGTGTTAAGCCCATCCAAGGGTCCAATGCAAGGAAAACCGAAAGGGCAAGTGGGCAAACATTTCGTCTGGCAATGACACGCTGGCAATGGCTCAAAACGAGATTCCCCTGAAATTTGCGGGCTCCATGGTCATCTGAGTCGAACATCGACGCATGAGAATCAAAGCAAACTGAAACCCGTGGAATCCGATTGTCAGCAAACCGACCGTTAGACGTTTACACGCCCAAATTGGTTGGAGTTGGCCCCCTTTCGAAGAGGACGGTAGGGGCCGACGGTGCATTTCCATGTTTTTTGTTGGGCGGGATAATGATTCCGCTCCGGCAGATTCACATGCCATTTGTACATTTGTAGAGTATTTTTGTCTTGGGGGACATTGTGGATTCCCCTCTTGTGATTTCCGTGTAAATTAGGAAAACCAAATTCAAGCCGGCAAAATCCAAGTTAAATGCCAAAAGGACCTGTGACAAGCTGGCACAAGCCGAGGATGTGGGGAAAAATGCAGAAGAGATACCCATGCTTTGCCCCCCAGACTGCACCCACATTGATTACCCACTCATGTTTCATGTGCGGGGTTCATCCTGAGGACAAAATCGAAGAGACGGCTTGCCGTCCCTTCTCATCCTCAAACCCGAGCAATACTGTGGATGGTTGCGAAATCCATTCGCACCACTTTGAAACCATGGTTGAAACCATGATGTTTGTTGGTACCACCTACGGTTTCTTAGGTGCGAAATAGAATGGATTCTCAGCTTCTCATGGCTCAGTCAATGGGTGATGTCGTGTCACTGACTGGCACTCTCGCCGCGCGGCGGGTTTTTGCTTCTGGACCCCCAAGTCGGACGCGCCAAAGTTGATTCTCACGCCAAGACGTGACGGTCACGTGTAACGTAAAGCCTGAGGCTCTCGAAGCGGCTTCAAAATGCTGCATCTGGGATTGCTGAAGTCTGCTTGAGTCAGGACCCCTCTCAACGCCTCAGCAAGTTTCGACTTCTCATCAGACAGTTTGGGAAGTTGCACAATCTCGGAGCCATCAAGGTTCAGCTGGTTCAGAACTTCATTCACCTTCCACCGCGGATGGACGGATGGACTGCGGGGGTCCGCAAGGGCCAAGGCGTGAATCTCCCTTAAGGTGTCAATTCCAAACTCCATGAATTTGATGAGCGCCGGGGGCTCTTCACCCCACATCTTGTACAGAGTTTCGGCAACTTGCTGTTTTTGCACAACTTCCGTGTGACTATGTATGCCCATAGGTCAACACAATATTATGCTCCCTCTCCGCCGTACTGGAAAGAGACAAAGCAGTGGTTGTCCTCGTTCTGATCCTTTCGTTTTGGGTGCACCCACAAGCGAATTGGCGCAACACCAAGGCTCAAAAAGAGCTCCACACTCACCGCAGTTGCCAAGGCCAACTTCCCCATGATCCATGCCTGAATGAAGACCTCTTCAAAATAATAGCTTTTTGGACTCTGAGCATTTCCTGGGTGTTTACAAGTCATGTTCCCCCATGACCAATTTGAACCTTTGCTTTGATCTTTATTTGGTTTGGTTTTTCCTCTGGCTTGTTTTTTTGGAGTCTCCGAAAAAACGAAGAAAACAAATCCATTCAACGGCACTCCCCAACGGCCACGACCGCAGCAAAACGAGGCCCAGCGCACCAGCGGAGCAACGCCAGCACCACGCTGCGGACGGGCGCATCAGAGCTCCAGCTGTGCCCCAAGACAATCTGCGCCTCGGCCGGCAGCTCATTCCAGGCATAGGTGTCCTTTTAGGGGACATAGATGGCCCTGGTGGATGATTAAACCACCAGGTAAAACCAGGGCCAGCCATTTTTTAGAACAACCAACAAGGACACCTATGATTCCAGGCATTCAACCTGACAACCAACCACTCTTTGAGCCCCCCTCCTCCCCCCAACAAAAAAATATCAACAAATGGCTTCCGCAAAACCCGCCCCCCTCCTCAGTTCATTCCAGGAATCACCACTTTTGGATGGGGAACACACCCCTTTTTGCAAACCGGGGTTGATTTATATGAGGCTAACATTAGTCTTGGACTCAGGCCAGTTCCTTCATTCAACAAACGAACTTGTGCGGGGATACGGGAGCGGGTCCCGATCTGGGGGGAGTCCGTTGGCGGGTTCCCCCTGTGAGACCCGGTCCTTTTCTTGGTTGCTGTGACGACCCCTCTGCAACAAGTCTCGCTTTTGTGGGTCAAATGGAAAATCCCAAGGCTTCAAAAAAAAACCAAAAAGTGAAAGTCCAAAGATCCAACCAAACAGCCATAAAGTGTTGACGCCTTTTTTAGGACAAGGTTAGCATCCAAGAGGAAACGTACATTTCTAGGTAGGCCATGCATTTTGCCATTGGTTCAGGGTTCCTGCTTGTTGATTCCGACCCCGTAAAGAATCAAAGGGCACTTGAACCTAGACCTACAGGTGCTGTTTCAAGGCGTTGAAAGGGATCCCTAAGGACCCTGCTTCTTAAGCCTACCAATTGGATTCATATAACATTGCTCCCTGCAGCAGTATGGGTGCCCATCCCCTTTGATGATGATGATGATGATGATGATGATGATGATGATGATGATGATGATGATGATGATGATGACGATGACGATGACGATGACGATGACGATGATGATGATGATGATGATGATGATGATGATGATGATGATGATGATGATGATGATGATGATGCTGCTGATGATGATGATGACGATGGCGACGGCGACGGCGACGACGACAACGACGACGACGACGATGATGATGATGCGGTGATGTGATGGTGGTGATGGTGGAAATGGGATGGGATGGGATGGGATGCGGCGACGGATGATGGGTGATGTGCACCTTTGGGAAGGCCCAACAAGCATAAAAAGTCGGCTAAGGCGGAACATGAAACCCAGGAACTTGAAGGGATCACTGGACAATCATTGGATCAAAACGAATTCAAAACCATCCAGGGGGTCCCCCACAATTCAAGACATTACAAAACGAATCGGAATTCAGGGGTCACTGGATAGTCACCGGATTTCCCCAAATCAGAGAGGGACCAATCCTTAAACTCAGGGCCTGCCTGGAGCACGCGCATCACGTCAGCGTACTCCGGCACGGGGAAGCCGGACATTCGGTCGGTGGCCTCGAATGAACTCTCGTGTGTATCTTTAAACAAAGACATTGTTTAACCAAGAATCTACAACTCAGTTAATAGATGTAATACCCTCAAATAATAAAAAATCAAGAAGTAGCATTGATACAACTCCTTTCGTTGTGGTGGTTTTATGGCCATGGGTCAAAATCCAAATCAAATCGTACCCCCGGTGAACATCCCAACCCCCACTAAAATAGGTACTAAAATGGGTGGTGAATTCACCTACCCCAAAATGGGATCCCATTGGTTTTGACCCACAGCCATATGGTGGCTTAGTGGTTATATAGCGGCTTGCAGCGCTTTCTTAGTGGTTGGACCTGAGTTGGGACCCATTAACAGGGTGAGAAATTCACTTGCCGACTTAAACATGGGGTATAGCCTGGCTTAAGACCTTACTAGCTTGGCCGAACAACCAAATACTCTCAAAATATGAACCCCTTGCCTTTTTGGGTTCCTTTGGTCGCCATAATCAATGGCTGAGAAGCCAATAAGGCCCAGCTACGCCCAAACCGCGCGACGCGGTTTAAGAAGGCTTTGCTTCTAAGCGTTGTCTGGTCCCTATATTAATATACAACCCACCCCGGCCCACCTGTGGCCAATCCGGGGCTTGGGAAGTGGATGTGGTGGGCTTCCCCCAAAAGGAAAGAGTCCAAAACCCTCCGATCCTCAGCTTCCTCGGCTTTTGGAGAGGCAGTTGGTCACAGTTCGGAATCAGCCGAACCGCTTTCCGCATGAGATGAACTAATTGCATCGACCCGTCGCCAGCTTGCAAAACCGCCTGAGCCATGAGGTAAGCACGCCAAAGCGACGGTCAGGAATCAGGGCCCAACACTGTGCTTATCTTGTTGACTCCAAGTGCACCGACGTCCTGGTTTTGCTGCAGGGTTTCCGATTTGCTTGTGTTCACAGATGCTTAGTCCCGATATCCGTCTGCTTTTTGAGGTGGTGATTGGCGATCGGCCTCAGGTGCCTGAACTCTAAATAGCGTTAACCCGTCCCGGTGCCTTCAGTTGCCACAGTAGCCAGGGGAAGCATCATATCGGCAACCACTAAAACCAACCAAAAACAACGAAACAGCTCAGGAACCGGATGGCTGGTCAAGCTTGTATACCCAACCACTAAACCAACCTAAAAAAAGAAACCGAGAAAGCTCTAGTCTTTTCGGATGAACCTGACCACCGACCTCTCCCATTTTCCCTCCCCGCCCCCCCGCGCCCCCCTGCACGCCTTGCAGCTCTTGCGGCTCACCTGGCGCGGCAGCTCCGCCAGCCTCGGGAGCCGCACCTGGCGACGCGCTGCGGCTCCCGGCCGCAGCGGGCGGCTTCTCAGCTCCCAGTTGGTTGGAGCGCCCCGGAAGAACCTCCCTCAGTGGAATCCCACTGGGCTTGAAGCGGCTCAAGTCTGGTTGGAGTCAGAGCCTCGAGGCTTGAAGCAACTCTTGGACCCCAACCTTCTTGGAAGGCGCCAAAATGGCCAAACACAGAGGGAGGTTTCAAGTGACGAACATCCAATGCAAAACATCCAGCTTTGGCTTTCAGACAATTTACTATCCACAAGAAGCTACCCGAGTTCATGGTCAAAACTGTCGAAATGGTCATGGCTTTCATCCTTGTTGATGACGAGTACCAGCCCCAACTGAGTTTAGGGTGGTTTGCCTGTGGCACGTATGCGCCACGGTCGAAATGCGCTATCCACAATTGACATGGGACAAGCGACTGTCCCTCTCGACTGGTTGGAAAACCCGAACCTTGACGATCGGCCCTTACGATCATGGGGAAACCAGAAAAAGCACCCTCCTCCGAGAATGCCGAGACTTGGGGCTGTCTCCAAACTTATCCAAAGCTGGTTGGCTTGCTTCTGGCTTGCCTTTGAAGCCAACCAAAGCGGGGCAATTGCCCTCAATGGCACCCCTGCTTTTCGCTTGACCCATCGCGAAAACCCGATTCCTTCCACCATGCTAAGGCACCTATTGGAGGGTACCTGGAAGATCAATTTCCTCTTGCAGGCACCCCATGTCGGGTGCCATGGCAACGTGGAAGAAAGGGTTACCAACTATGTTCGACTTCACCGCACCCATTTCAATTGGATCCTTGCGGCTTCAATTGTTGGAGGCACGGAATCCAATCCCAAAATGGGTTGCCCGATCGGTAAACTAAAACCTGCTTCATTTTTTCCTGATGGTGCCCCTTCCGTGCGGGTTGCTTGACCAAACTCTGCGCATGTATTCTGGCCGCTAAACAACTAGGAGAACCCATGAGTTGAAAAACCCTCCCACGTTGGCTTCCCGAGTCTGCCTATCCTCTTGCATACAGGTTCAATCGCAAGACTCGGAGAATCCGCAGCGACCTCCTCACTTGTCCCACTCCAAAGTGGCAGCAGCACATTCGTGTTCGGCGTCTGTGCCTGCCCATCCTGCAAAGCTGATCCAATAGCACAAAAAATCCACACCTCCGGCAAGGTGGGCAACGCCCGAAACTTGAAACTCTTGGTGCTAAGGCTTCCATTTGCTGATACGCCCCCCCTGAAAGATGCAAAATCTATCCAGTGATAAACTCCCTGAAAACCAACAATGGAAAACACATGCTCTCAAGCAAACGGAAGAAATGCTACAAATTGATAAGACCTCACGTTAAACTTTGTAGATCTCCCTGCCACTACGAGCACGCCTTGGTTGCTCTTGACCCCCCTGCAAAAAATTTAACTGTTTGGGGGTTTAGTGGAAAAACACCTTTATTTCCGAAAAAGTTAAAGTCTGAAGATCCAACCCAATAGCAGTCAAGACGAAAGCCTGCTTGCGCGCACGGACTTTTTCGCTTAGGGTGAGGACAATCACTCACTGCACCGAGCACATGCAACGCGACACTTGCGGGCCATCAATTAATAACCGCGGGTGAGAATGTTCACGCCACTATGAGATCTTCGCTCAGAAATCCCCTTGCTCAGCCTGTGCATGTCTCCAAATGGGCCTTCTCCTTTTAAACTCCGGGTTAGAACTTTTTGTAACACCCGAAATAGTCAAAGGGCCCTGGGAACGTGAATGGAAGAATGAGTGCGACTTTTCTGGGAAGTAAAATGGTGGGCTTTCCTTTGGGCTCCCGGAACCAACAATGGTGCCCCCAAAAAAAGACACACCCAAATCGCCTTTGACTAGGTTATTTTAACACCCTCCCCTCTTTTTTCGAGCAAAGCCCAACCCGAAACACATACCACTCCCGAAACATGCCTCTGACCAGCGAGGTTTGCACCAGAAGTTCCACCAG